TTTCTTTTTGTTGTCTGATTGCTGTGGCTAGGACTTCTAATACTATGTTGAATAGCAGTGGTGATAGTGGACATCCCTGCTGCGTTCCTGACCTTAGGGAAGAAGCTCTCAGTTTTTCCCCATTGAGAATGATAGTCGCTGTGGGTTTTTTATAGATGGCTTTTATGATTTTGAGATATGTACCCTCTATCTCTACACTGTAAAGAGTTTTAATCAAGAAAGGATGATGTACTTTGTCAAACGCTTTTTCTGCATCTATTGAGAGAATCATATGGTTCTTGTCCTTTCTTTTATTAATTTATTGTATCACATTGATTGATTTGCGGATGTTGAACCAACTTTGCCACCCACTGATAATTCCCACTCGGTCGTGGTGAATAATCCTTTTAATGTACTGTTGGGTCCTATTGGCTAGTATTTTGGTGAGAATTTTTGCATCCATGTTCAGCAGGAATACTGGTCTGTAAGTCTCCTTTTTGATAGGGTCTTTGTCTGGTTTTGGGATGAAGGTAATGGTGGCCTCATAAAATGAGTTTGGAAGTTTTCCTTCCATTTCTATTTCTTGGAACAGTTTCAGAAGAAGAGGTATTAATTCTTCTTTATACGTTTGGTAGAATTCCCCTGGGAAGCCATCTGGCCCTGGGCTCTTGTTTGTTGGGAGGGTTTTGATTACTGCTTCAATTTCCTTACTGGTTATGAGTCTGTTCAGGATTTTTATTTCTTCCTGGCTCAGTTTTGCTTGTTTATACATCTCTAGGAATGCATCCATTTCTTCCAGATTATCTAATTTGCTGGCATATAGTTGCTCATAATATGTTGGTTGTGATCTCTCCTCTTTCATTCATGATTTTATTTATTTGGGTTCTTTCTCTTTTCTTTTGGTTAAGTCTGGCCAGGGGTTTATCAATCTTATTAATTCTTTCAAAGAACCAGCTCCTAGTTTTGTTAATCTGTTCTACTGTTCTTCTGGTTTCTATTTTATTGATTTCTGCTCTGAACTTTATTATTTCTCTTCTCCTGCTGGGTTTAGGCTTTATTTGCTGTTCTTTCTCTGGCTCCTTTAGGTGTAGGGTTAGGTTGTGTATTTGAGACCTTTCTTGTTTCTTGAGAAAAGCTTGTATTGCTATATACTTTCCTCTCAGGACTT